CTGGAGCATCTCGTGGAGTTGGTGGCCGACAAGTTCCGCATAATTGGACAGACGGAGGACGAGAACAAGCCGTTTGGTCGCATCCAAGACGTGCAGAAGAAGTCGTTCCAGGAGACATCCGCGATCAAGGACGCGAAGCGACGGCTGAAGCAGCGCTGCGAGGACGACCTGAAGAACCTACACGGCGCGATCCAGAAGGCGGACATGGAGGACGCGGAGGCGATGAAGCGCTTTGCGACGCAGAAGGAGAAGTCGGAAAAGTTCATCCAGGAGAACCTCGACAGGCAGGACGAGGCGTGGCGCCGCATCCAGGAGCTCGAGCGTGTCCTGCAGCGCCTGGGGACGGAGCGATTTGAGGAGGTGAAGCGCCGCATCGAGGAGAACGACCGCGAGGAGAAGCGCAAGGTGGAGTACCAGCAGTTCCTGGATGTATGTGGGCAGCACAAGAAGCTGCTGGAACTGTCGGTGTACAACTGCGACCTGGCGATGCGATGCATCGGGATGATGGAGGAGCTGGTGGCGGAGGGCTGCAGCGCAATCAAGTCGCGCCACGACAAGACGAACGAGGAGCTGGCGGACCTGCGGCTGCAGGTGCATCAGGAGTACCTGGAGGCGTTCCGCCGCCTGTACAAGACGCTGGGCCAGCTGGTGTACAAGAAGGAGAAGCGCCTGGAGGAGATTGACCGCAACATCCGCACGACGCACATTCAGCTGGAGTTTGCCATCGAGACGTTTGACCCGAACGCGAAGAAGCACTCGGACGCCAAGAAGGAGCTGTACAAGCTCCGCGCACAGGTGGAGGAGGAGCTGGAGATGCTGAAGGACAAGATGGCGCAGGCGCTGGAGATGTTTGGCCCGACCGAGGACGCGCTGAACCAGGCCGGCATTGAGTTTGTGCATCCCGCCGAGGAGGTGGAGGACGGTAACCTGACCCGCCGCAGCAAGATGGTCGAGTACCGTGCCCACCTGGCGAAGCAGGAGGAAGTGAAGATTGCGGCGGAGCGCGAGGAACTGAAGCGCTCCAAGACACTGCAGAGCCAACAGTACCGCGGCAAGACGGTGCAGCAGATCACACAGTAACCTGTGTACGCCGGTGTCACCCAACGCTGTTGCTGTTTTCCCCATTCCATGTATGTTTTTTATGTATACAAATGTATTGTTTTTGAATTTGAGAAGAAAATTTTTTTACTGTAGGGATTTAGCATGCGTTTTCTTTTTTGTTTGTTTGTTTGTTTGAATTTCCTTGATGGTTTTACTTTTGGTTTTTTTCTTTTTTTCTTTTTTTTTTTCTTTTTATGATGTATATTCATTGCTATTTTTTATATTTGAAGGCAACTTTTTTGTTGTGTTTTCCTGTTTTTTTTTTTTTTTGTTTTTTTGTTTTTTGATGTTGACTGTGATTATGTATGATGGGTGACTGTTTGTTTGTTTTTCGTGTAGTGCGGGTTGTTTTGTGCTTCCGCCAGCGTGTCTTTTTTTTTTCGTTGTTGTTGTTTTGGTGTGTGTTGTCGCTGCCTGGTGTTGTGGTGGACTGCGCTGCATGCTGCCATGTGTGTGTTTGATGCTCCTCCCCCCACCCCCTCTTTTTTTTTTCTTTGCTTTTTTGCCTTTTACTTCGGCGAAGGATTTTTCTGCAAGCGTTTTAATTAAAAAGTTCTTTTAGTTGCGAAGTAGAACACGGGTTTGGGGTTCACGGCAAAAGGTGTGTACCGCGGTGTAGAAAAGAGTTTGATTTGTGTGCGTGTGTTGGTGCGTCACGCGGTGTTTGTGTGTTGTTTTTGTTTTTGTTTTGTTTTTTATTATTTTAAATGAACGGCGAGGTTTCGGTGGAACGAAAGTTCAGCCCTTCGCAGCCCGGCTACGGCAGTGAGGGGTGCCGTCAGTCAATGGGAACAACAACAAACAACGGCGCCCGCCGCTTCTCGGCGACGGAGCTTGGCCGTACGGTAGGCATGCCGTACTCCTTCGACACCATGCGGTACCTGAAGGACGTGATGCGGAGGCGGGAGGATATCCACACGATGCGGGTGATGCCCAAGACGCACCTTCTAGCCCAGTTGGTGCTGCTTGAGCAGTCGGGACGGGAGATGCTTATCCACCAAGAGCGATTTTGCCGTCAGCAGATTGCGCACAAGCGTGATGATGAGCGGTCAAAGCGGGAGGAGCAGCGTCTACAGCAGAAAAACCGTGATCGTTTGGAGGAGATGAAGAGAAAGCAGGTGGAGGAGCTAGCCGCATTAAAGGAAGGGGTGACCTCCTTCCAGAGGCAGATTGACGCCGAGGTGAAGGAGAAGCTGCGCATTGTGTGTATGCTGCAGCCCCGCATGAATGTTGCGGCCGCTGTCCTTGCTGAAGTGAAGAACGAGGCATCCCCTTTTCTGCTGCTGCCGGAGCTCATGGAGGAGGAAAAGCGCGTGGCGAAGGCACTTAAGGCGGACAGTCGCTATAGCAAGAGCTCCGCCGACAGTGGGGCCGTGCCTCACTGGATGCGCACCTGCGTCGCCGGCTCATTCAACGTGGCAGCCATTTTACAGGACGCCCCGTATCGTGCGACGGTGGATGATGCCGTCAAGGTCACAAATGCCTTTTTGCGCAAGGTGGTTGTGGTGCGGGACGTCAATGACAGGAGCGTCGTGGGGTGGGTGCATGTGCGTGCGGGGTCCGATCCCGCGACGTTGGCCACGGAGTTGGTGCGGCTTCCTGCCCCGGAGGAGTTGCCGGACCAAGGGAACATTGGCGTCGTGTGGCCCAAAGAAGACTTTCTCGAGTTGAGCCGCAGGGCGAAGGCAAACAACAACGTGGAAACGCAGCAACTACTGCAGTCAGTCCTTGGCATTTCGAGCGCCTCACTCCATTGTGTCGGTCTCACGACGCATGAATTTTCGAAAAAAGAGGTGGACACCATTGGATCACTGGCGTCCGTCTGACTGTGACGAACGGGAGGCGGTGGCACGATTGTGGAGAGAGAGAGAAAGGGCGGGGGAAGAAGAAAAAAAAAAAAAAAAAGGCGAGGTAATTAGTAAGAAATGAATATAAACTGTTTGTTTGGCACATATGTAGCACAAAGAAGTAAAAGAAAAGAAAAGAAAAAAAAAAAAAAAAAAAAGTAACGGTAATACATGTATGCAGATGGAGTGGTAAATTCATTGGTTCTTTTATGCAAAAATATACACGCACTTATTATTGTTATTATTATTGGTTTTTTTTTTTTCTTTTTTGGTGGGGGGAGGGTGTTGCTTGTAATATGTGCTCATACGCTCCCTGCCGAATTGATTTTTTTTTTTTTTTACACGAGTTTCTTTACAAAAAAAAAAAAAAACGACGTTGACGACATGGAGAGAGAAAGAAAGGCACCGGCCCTCTTCTTTTATTTGTGCGTTTGGGGGAGGGGTAGGGGGGAGGGGTCAAATGAATAAAAGGCCCTTCGCTCCTTTCATTTCTTCCCACCACCGTGAAGGCAGGCGTTTGGTGCGTACCGAAGAAAAACAAAACAACGGCAGTGACGGTAATTCAATGCAAAAACGTGCCTCTGGGATAAAAAAGATGGTCGAACAGGCACACACAAACACACAGGGCGAGAAGGGAGAAAAAGAGAGGCGGGAGCTGAAGTTGGTGCCATGCAATTGCATGTTGGGAGGGAAGAAAAAAGAAAAAAAAAAAAAAAAAGGGGGGGTGCGGGGGCAGGTAGAGTAGAGAGTGCCACAGAATTGAATGGCATTAAAAGAAATATATTTATTTATTTATTTATTTATTTTACAAAAGACAGGAAAGAAAATCATGTTTGCGTTAATGGATGTAGAAGATGAAGATAAAGGAAAAAAAAAATATAAAGAAAAAAAAAAAAAAAAAAAAAAAAGAACAAAAAATGGAAATTCAAAAAATATATATGTATTTATTCATATTTATATTTATATAAAGAAAGGTAGGAAGGAAGATGATGTATTTCTGAACTGTGTACACGCACAAATATGTAGAAATGCATATTTGTATATATATATGTGTGTATATATATGTGTGCGTGTGCGTATGCTTTCATTTGTGTGTGTGTGCTTCAGTTTATATAAAAGCGAGTATAAAAATAAATAAATGGAAGGAGGAGGAGGGGGAAGGGAAATAAGATAGATGAATGAAGAGAGTGAGTTAAAGGGGCGGTTGGGGTGGTGGTGTTGGTAGTGGTGATATGTGAAGTGGGAAGTGGGAAATGGCAACGAAAGATAGAGAGTTTATGTGTCTGTTGGTGGGAGGGGGAAGGGAAGGGAAAAGGAAGAGGAGGCGGGGGGAAAATAACACGAGAAGACGATTGGAATTCTTTAAAAATTAAAAAAAAAAATGGAAGGAAGGAAGGAAGGAGTTTATTGGAAGGGTGTTGCGTGTAAAAATGCGTGGGCGTGCATGTACGCTTCATGGACGTTTCCGTCCAGCCCTCCGTCCATTTGATTGGCAAGAAGCTTCCAACGCGGGGCACGACACACGGAGGGGGTGGTGGGGGGGCAAACCCCCTCCATACACACACATATATATATATATATTGCCTGCACCTCTTTTTCTTTTTTCTTTTTTCTTTTTTTTTTATAAACCGTTGAGAGTTGTTTTATTTGTGTGTCTTTTTTGTTGTTTTTATTTTATTTTATTTTTTGTACTTTTGCCCGGATTTACGCAATTTTTTATCATCTTTTTCCGCTACTTTGCCTCTCGGCCTTTTTTTGATGCTCGTTGCATGTCCACTCCTCCTGGGAAAGGACTGTGCGGTGACGGGGTCGGGCGTGGGGCGGCCTTTTTATACACGCATGCATGCATTGGGGGGGGGGGCTCTGTCTGTGTGCATGCGGTCCGTCATTTATTTATTTATTTCTTCTCGCCCCCAAAAAAGGGGGCCTTTCCGATGTCTTTTCTCCACCTCCCACCAACACCCACACCTCTTTTCCTTTTTTTTTTTGCTGTTGTTTTTTTTTATCTTTTTTTCAGCGCCACTTCTTTGTTGTTGCGTTGCGTTGCGTATTCCCCATCCCCAATATATACACGGACACCACCATTACGGAATTGTTATGCCTTTGTTCTTACTGTATGTTTGTTTGTGCGTTGTTGTTGTTTTTTTTTTTCTTTTCTTTTCTTTTCTTATTCTGCGGGGCGTCCTTTTGTTGTTATTGTGTTTGTTATTATTATTATTATTATTTGAAAAGTAAACCAACAAAAATTTCCACAGGCGCAAATATTCATACTTATATCCATGTGTATGTGGATTTTATTTTTTTTTTTTTTTTTTTGTGTGTGTGTGTGTCTTTATGCATCGATGAATATGTGATGTTTGTACAATTTTAATGTGGGGATCCACGGAAGTATGGTTTATGCCTCATGTCGTGTACATTGCAGTCCCTGTAAGTCATCGTGGTTCCTTTTTGTGTGTGTTTTTTGCCTTTTTTGTGTGTGTGTGGGGAGGGGAGGGGAGTGGGGGGTCAAGGAAGCGGTCAGGCATTATTTTTTTCGTCGGTGTCGCGCCGCACGCCGACAGACAAAGTGGTGTGTTTATAGGAACCTCGGGTGTGTGGGTGGGAGCAATGGACATGGATGCGTTGACGCAGCGCCAGGCCGACAAGATTGAGTTTGTTCTTCGGGATCTTGTGCGGGACCTTGAGCTCGTCTCGCTCCTGCCGACAAGCCTCAGCCCATGGACACGGAAGGTGTGCCTTGAAACTGTTCGCAGCCAACTCAGCAGCGGCGTGGAAGATGGAGTTGAGGAAGAAGAAGATGATGACGTACGTGTGGCGCAGCTCATTTACGGCGTCGCCGAGCGTCACGGCGATCCAACCGATGTAGACGGCAACGAGGTCCTGCTGCAGATGGCGGAGTTTGCCGAACTGGAGAAGGAAATATTGGATCTGGCCACAGTGGCAGGTAGTGTGGAGGAGTCGGACCTCAATCGACATCATATGTTGTTCCGTGCCATCCTGGATACCCTCCAGGAGAATGAATATGTGTCCATGGTGCGGGAGTTGCAGGAGCGGCGGGCCAATTTGTTGGTCACGAAGGCGGAATCCTCCCTGGCGCACCTGATCGATCCAGGTGTATTGGCGCTGAAGAATGCCATGGAGATCCTCCTCTCCCTCGTCATGGCACGTAACAAGACGACGGTCAACGAGGATGTCCGCAACTACAGGATCCTGCACGAGGCGGTGAATAGAGAAAAGACCGCTTCCGCAGATGTCAAGGCCCTGAAGCGGGAGTACCAAGAAACAAAGGAATCACACAAGAAGGAAGTGGAGGCCCTCGAAACGGAGATACAACGACTAGAGGAAGAAATTGATTATACACGTAGCGTTGTCGCAATGGAATTATCGGCGTTTCTTGAAGTAAATCAACAACTGCAGGGAGAGCGCCAGATGCAAGATGTGGGTCACCTGGAGGAGGTGAAGCAGCTCGCCGAAAAAAATAAAGAAACGCTGGCAACATTGGTGAACCGGAATCAGGAGGAAGCAAACGCATTAAGAACGCAACGGGCCAAAAAGGAGGCTGCCGTGAGTGCTGCGATCACGGAGTATGATGTGCAGATATCAACACTACAAGCGGCCACTGCGACCCTCAATAAGGAGACAGAAGAAGACACAGAGGCTATTGTTGCGCTTGATGAAGAACTTGACGTTTTACGTACTGAAAAGAACGAGTATCAATTAGAGAAATTTGTTGAATCGATGCGTGACAGACACTACGAGGAAATGCAGTTGGCCATGGATGAAAACACTCGAACCATCCAAGCCTCTTTTCGCGCGTACATGGCTCGTGTGAGGTTCCAGAAGACGCAAGGCAGTTCAAAGAAAAGGGGAAGAAGGTCAAAAAAGTGAGGGAACGCTCTTGTTTTGTTGTTTTTGTTTTGTTTTGTTTTTGTACTTCACGAGGGGTGTGTGAGATGTACAGTAGGCTGCCTGGTCCGCCGGCGGTAACGCCACACCGTACCGGGGCAGGAAGGAATCTGAGAAACACAAACAGACATATATATATATATATATATATTATGTAAATATGCGACGACCACCGTGCTGCTGCCGCTGCAGTTGCTAGTGTGTTTGTGTTTTCTTTGTTATTATTATTATTATTATTATTATTATTATTCCTGTTTGCTTTTTTATTTGGGTGTTTGGCATTTTATACGTGTGAAGGAAAAAAATTGGGTTTTTTATTCGTCTTCAGTCTGTGCTAGCAGTTGCAGCGGAAACAAGGAGGAAAACACAACCAAGAAACGAAAAAAAAAAAAGAAAAAGCGAAAGCATGTCAGCGGGGGCGTTAAATTTTTCGAATGAAGGGGAAAAGGCCTTTGAGAGTGGCGACAAGGTGAGTGCCGAGTTCTTTGCGATCACGTATGGTGCGTTGGTGCAGCAGATGGTTGCCGACCTGGTGCAGGAGGAAGATGTGGAGGTGGTCAACCAGCAGTTGGACGCAATGGGCCGCCGTATTGGATCACGGCTTATTGAGGAGTACAGCGTGCGAAGTGGCGTTCCCGCGTGTCGAACGTTTGCGCAGGCGGCGGACGCTGTTGCGTTGGTAGGGCTGCGCATGTTTCTCAACGTCACAGCGACAGTAGAGCCATTGCGGGAGGTGGGCACGGATGCCTTTTCCATTAAATTTGCCGAGAATCCGCTGGCGCTCTTCGTGGAGCTGCCCGAAGGCCCCTTGCGGGAGCGGCTGTGGTATTCGAATGTCATCTGCGGTGTCGTTGTGGGGGCGCTCGGGATGGTTGGCTTTTTGGCGGAGGCGACGTTTGCGCGCGACATGTTGCGTGGGGACGCAATTAACGAAATTTTGCTCTGCTTCAAGGGCAGAGAAAAGGAGACGTTTCAGATTGAGCGGTAGGGCAGCGTTGTGGCTTGGAAAGGCGGTACAGAGAGGGAGAAGGAGGGGAGAGGAGGTGTGTGGTGCATTTGTTGCCTTTGCCGTTACCGCTGTGGGATGCGTCTTCTTTAACAGGTTTTTTTCTCTTTTTTTTTTTTTTGTTGTTGTTTTTACTTCTGCTGCTGGTGGTGCTGGTTGGACCACACGGTGTTGTTTGGCGATGCGTCTTGCATGCCGATCAGCGAGTTGTGGTACGGGCGGGGGCCGCGGTAGGTGGTAGGGTGGATGGAGTACAGGCAAAAGTCGGCGCGGCTTCCAAAGTCAGCCGAAGAGAAGTCACGGTGGCGGCGTGTCATCGTCGTTCTCGAACACTGCCCCCTCGCCGTTGTGCGCACGGAGTACGGCTTCGAGTTGCTGTCCGAGAAACACCGGCAGTATCACGCACGCAACAAGCAAGACCCTGCTGAGTGGCGACCAGACGTGGTGCATCAGGCTCTCCTGCACCTTATGGACTCCCCGCTGAACCGTGCCGGTCTCTTGCAAGTGTTCCTGCGGACAAAAAAAGGCGTTGTCATTGCCGTCGATCCACGCCTGCGTGTGCCACGGCATATTCGGCTTTTTGAAAAGATGATGGTGGTGTGTCTGTACAAGATGAAGGTGCGGGCGGCACATGGGCATATTTCGCTGCTGCGTGTGGTGAGGAACCCTGTCACAGACCACATACCGCCCAACTGCACGTTGTTTCGCGTGGAGCGGGACGGAGACAGTGTCCCGGATCTCTACGCCTTCTGCGCCACATGCGGTGTTGCCGACGGGGACGCCACAAAGAAGCGTAAAGTGGAGACATTTGCGGCAGGTGAGGCCGCGCCATCCCATTTTGCGCAGCACCACAGTGAGGCCGCCGAGGCACGGAAGTTTTATCCGTTTGCATTCATTATTGGTGGTATGTCGAAGGGCGATGTTGAGGCGCCGTACGCTCCGAAAGGACAGGTGAAAAGCATCCGCATCAGCGACAGGGGGATGTCCGCGGCGGCTGTTTGCAGCGCCATCACACACGCCTTTGAGGATGAGTGGCTTCGTGATGACAACGAGACGGAGTAGCCTGCAGTTTGTGTCTGTGTGTCCGTGTGTGTGTGTGTGTGTGCAAAGGGACGTTTGTTGCCGTCACTTCTCTCCACTGGGAAGAGCAACCAAAAGACGGACGGTATTTTCAAATGGATAACATATTAAGAAGGGATTACGGAGGAAACGGTTAATAGATGCGTGCACAGGCCGACGTTCATTGGGACGCAGGAGAAGGAAAGAAGAAGAAGGCAGCTTTGGTTGGTTGCTTGCTGTTGTGGGAAAGGGCCCCCGAACAGAACCAAACACATGAAGGAGCCACTGTTATTGTTGGTGTTGTTGTTAATAACAAACAAATCATGAAGAAAAAAAGAAAAGAATTAAATTTGAACGGAAATTAAAACGGAAAAAAAAAAAAAAAAAGGGAGGTTGAATACGCCTGTTGGCGTCGAATTTTCTCCACACCGCCCATTCATGCGTCTCTCTCTCCGTGTCTCTGTAATGTCATCATCTTTTCATGCCGGGCATGTTTTTTTCTTTTTTTTTTTTTTCTTCCCTTCTCCTTCTGTTCCCCATTTGTGAATGTTTGTTTCTTACACAATAAAGAAGGCGATCGACAGGGGCTTGCGATTCTCTTCTTCTAAATAAAAACATACATACACATACACATATATATTATATAATCAATACAAGGAGTGGATTGTTTTTATTTAATTTAATTTATTGCATTTAAAAAAAAAAGAAAAAAAAAAAAAAAGGGGGACCGTTAGGGCTCGCCCCATTAGTGGGTGAAGTGTATTAGTCGTCGTGTGCATTCCTGTTTTGTGGAGCAGTAAAAGAAGGAAGGAAAAGAGAGTGGGACTGTCTGTATTTTGTTGCATTACGTCCGTTTAATATTATTTAACTTAAAGCTGCGTGTACCCCTTTAAAAAGAAAAAAAAAAGGAATTAAAAAAAAAAAAAAGGAAGGGCACATGGGTGGCTGCTCCTCCAGCCAAACATGCCTAACGAAGGGTCCTATTCCATCTCAACTCACACTGATTTCAGAGAACGCCGATGGCGGGGCTGCGGATGCTGAGTGTGGTGAGCCCATAGCAAATTACGTGGCCGCCTCCCCAAATGGCCTAGAGAGGGAGAAGGAGGAAGAGGAAGAAGCGGGGCGGAAATGTTTGCCGCATTTGCGACATCCCCAACTTACCATCCGCACGGGGGCAAATGACATGGAGTGGGGAGAAGATGGATGGGCCGCAGGCCCAATTTCGGATGGGTGTAAGTACGCATTGACTCCCGTTGTCCCTGTAACACCATTCACGACGCGAGATGTGCGTAAAAGGATTGTCTCCGAGTTTCAGAAGCACTACGGCGGATGTGGTGATACCGGAGAGGCAGTGACGCCGTGTACCATAGATGAAGCCAAGAAGCCCTCAAATAAATTAAGCGACGACGCTGCCGAAAATACCCCAATGGATACAAAGCAACTGGAGGCCCCAACGCCTAGTGCCATTTCCGCTGCATTGCCCAATATGGACAGAAGTGGTGTTGAAATGACACCAGTGGCATCCATTGGCGAGGAGTCCAAAGGAGTGACTGAGAAATGGGAAGGTTCTTCCGCAGTCAGCTTTCATCCAATGACCTTTCAAGCCATAAACCAAACTCCGCAACCCGCATCGCCGCAGTCGCGCGAGCCCTCCCTGACGAAGCCTCAGGAGGGGGACGCCCAGCAGGAATCATTTTTTACAATTGAGACAAGCAAAAAGCGGAGGTCCTTCATAGGTTTTCGCAAGAACTTAAAAAAAAACGTGGTAAACCGTGGCAGCGGGTCCGTTGGGGTGGATAAAGAGGAAAAGGAGGCGAATCGCTCCTTGTCCAGAAGCAACTCCAATGCGAAACCACAAACCGATGAAGCCCCTTTGTTATCACGTGAGCATTTTATTCGCATCGGCACGCAGAGGTTGGAGAAGCGTCTGTTTGAACTCAAACTCGTGGAGCACCGTGTGAAGGGTGATGGAAACTGTCAGTTTCGCGCTCTGGCGCAGCAGTTGCTGGGCTCAGAGGACCTCCATGAAATTATCCGCGTCCACGTTCTCACATACATGAAGGGTGTTCGAGAACGCTTTGACTGCTACTTTGCGAACAAGGAAGAGGCAGACGGCTACTACGGTAGAATGCTTAAAAGTGGTACATGGGGTGATGAGCTCACCCTTCGCGCGGCAAGTGATAGTCTGCACATAAACATTCACGTCTTGTCTTCGGAGCAGCAGAACTTTTACATTACATACCATCCAGGTGCAGACTCTCCGTTACCACCTGCCTTCCTGGTGGATGTTGCCACTCTTCGGCAACAACGGCATCTCCAAGGCAATGCTAACATGAGTCATTTGACGCAAACGGCAACAGTTGTAAAAGAGGGAAAAGGTGGCGGGAGCGGAATGGGAGCATTAGTTGTAGAAACAGAAGCCGAAGAAGGAGGAGGAGGAAGAGGAAGAGGGGGCTGTGCGTGCAGCGGGAAATCTGGAGGCGTTCAGCCCACTGCATTTAAGTCACGTAAAACAGCGGCGTCAACGCAGAACACAAAGAATCATGAAAATGGGGAAGAAGAGGAGGAAGTTATTGTGGATGCATGCGGCCTTCAGCGTTCTCTGCAGCGTAAATTGACTCAATCAACCATTCGAGCAGCCGCAACCCCAAAACGGGGCAGTTTTGCATCCGGTGGGTACCCTGAGAGTACGAACCGAAACGTCTTCTTTGCGGCAGTGGGAACTCCGGCAGTGGCGATGACCGGGGATGCTGCAAATAAAAGTGGAGCTGGTGGGTACTTGGATTTAAGTTTTACGGTCCAAAGCGGCGAGGAGAGTTTCGTGGGCGGTTCTTCTCAATCGACGCATTTGCGGACCGTCTCGCAGGAAATTGCCAGGTTATGCTCCGTTGGAACCGAAAGTGTAGAAAACAAAGGGAAACAGCACATCACTCTACTCCTAGCCCATCCAACCCCCGTTGAAACTTTGCCAAGTACGCAGCAACAGGTGGAATCCACACCCTCTTTACATATGCCAATCACAACGACTGTTTCCAATGCATTGCCAAAAATGGACTCGAGTTTTCTTTTGGTTTCTCCGCTGCATGGCGACATTGGTGGAATTACGCCTTCCGTCGCATGTGATTCTACACTTCCGGCCGCTCAGACATCGGCATTTTCTTCCGATATGGATGTCAATACGGCTGTTTGTGTAGCAAACCGTTTTCCTGTTTTAAGGGACGATGAAAGTGTTTTTGTCTTTGAAGGACATTCAGAACCCATTGATGTGTTTCTTTCTTATCTTTCCCCTGTGCATTACAATGCCTTAATTGTCGCAGAAGAAAGAACTACCCCCAGTGCTGTCTCTTTGATGCCTCAACAGGATAAGTTGGGTCCCTGTGCGGAATCTTTATCCCTTCCCGATGTTGGAACATTTCTACCCTTTTTAAAGAGGGTAGTTTCCGATAAAATGGTCTTAGGGGGAACCTCAGCTCTGTAAAGACAGAGCCACCACAATCTTGGAGACACATTGAGGCAAAATAACACACCCAACTTGAAAAAGTGAGAATTAAATATGCAGCGTGTGTATTTCTTTCCTTTTTTTTTTTTTGTTTTGTTTTGTTTTGTTTTTGTTTTTAGGTCAAATCACACACATTTACCCGTGCCGATAGGTCCTATTTATTTTCCCAAAGTTTTCTTTCTTTTTTTGTTTTGTTTTGTTTTGTTTGTCTGCACCAATTTATTTTTACTTTCAATAAACATGTATTTATTTATTTATTTGTGTGCGTGTGTGTGTGTGTGTGTGGCTCTCAGTAGCAGCTGTTCTTGTTTGTGTTGTTGTTGATTTTTTGTGTTGTTGTTGTTGTTGTTGTTGTTGTCTTTGATTTTGGTTGGAATATCGGCTTTATTTCTTACCCCTCTTATTGTTTGTTGTTTGTTTTACATTTAATTGTGCAACCAGTGCTATGGTAGTTTTGTTTGTTTTTATTTATTTATTTATTTATTTGCAGATGCATGCATGACAGGCAATGCTTACATACATATATATGTGTATTGGCTCATGAGGTTACATGTATGGATTATTTTATTTATTTATTTTATTTTATTTTATTTTATTTTATTTTATTTTATTATTTTCTTCGAAGCTGATAAGTGTATTACATGTATGTAATTTATGTTCTTTTGATTTGAATGGATCTGTTTTTTTTTTTTTGTTTTTTTGTGGGTCTGTCTGTCTGTCTGCCTGCCTGTCTGCCTGTCTGTATGTGTGTGTTGTTTGATCTCAAGACAAGGCTGAAATTTCCAACCACCCACCCACCCACCCACCCACCTACCCCCCAGTGACACCACAACGGAAACATCATGAACACATGCATACACACACACCGTAGTGTGGAGGAGATAGTCTGTGCGTGCAGGCGAGGAAACGGAGAGAAGAAGAAGAAGAAGAAGAAGAAGAAGAAGAAGAAGAAGAAGAAGAAGAATTTAAAAAAAAAAAAAGGGAAAGCATATGTAGACAGGCAGATAGATGTGTCTGTGCATGTCTCGTATGTGTTTATATGCCTCTATCTGTATGTGCCTATATATAAATAAATATATGTGTTTGCTCTGTGTTGTGGAAAACTCCTCTCTTTCCCTCTCTTTCCCTCTCTGTCTGTCTGTCTGTCTGTCTATGCTTGTGTAAGTGGGTGGGGGGCGTGATTTGTCACCGCGGTTAGGAGAAGCAACAACAAAAAAAAAAAAAAAGAAGGGAAGAGGCAGACAAACACACATACATACATTACACAGGAAGAAAAAAAAGGAAGGAAGGAAGGAAGAGCACACGAGCCAAGAAGGAAAGAGAAAAAATATATATATATATATAGAGAGAGAGAGAGAGTGTGTGTGTGTGTGTAATTGGAGGAAGGAGGGGAAGGAGGGTTTATGGGGCAAAGTAAAACAAAACTGCACATCATCACCTGCGGCCTCGATAACAGCGGCAAGTCATCGATCATCAATCGGCTCAAGCCGACTGCGCTTCAGAGTGAACATATCAGCGCCACAGTCGGCTACAATGTCGAGGTGTTTGAAAAAGGCTCGGCGAAGTTCACGGTATTTGACATGGGCGGGGCGAAGAAGTTCCGCGGCCTGTGGGAAACATACTATGAAAATATCAATGGGATTATATTCGTCGTGGACAGCAGCGATGAGCTTCGCCTGTGCGTTGTGAAGGAGGAAATTGAGTTAATGCTGCAACACCCGGACATTGCACGGGAATTACCCAAGACGAATGGGGCGAAAATCCCATTTTTGTTTTATGCCAACAAGATGGATCTTCCAAATGCCAAGACCGCGGCAGAATTGGTTGATCTTCTTGACCTCACGACACTCATGGCAGATCGGCCGTTTAACATTTTTGCCTCTAATGCACTGAAGGGGACGGGCGTTAACGAGGGATTTTTTTGGCTTCAGAATACATTGTTGCGACAGAGCAACACTATTAGTAGTAGTAGTAGTAGTAGAGGGGGGGCGAGGCAGAGAAC